CTAGCAGTCCATGGTATTCTCAATACTCTTCTCCAGCACCACAGCTCAAAGGCATCAATTCTCCTTCTATCCTCCCTGGTCATTGTCCAACTCTCTGACGCATAACGAGTGATTGCGAAGACCATGGTCTGTATCAAACGCACCTAAAAAGAAACTAGTGATTTTTTTTTTAATTAAGCTTGGCGAGCTCTGGTGGCCTGGAAGAAAGAAGCTGCACTGCAATCCCAGAGGTGAGCTGTTTGAATCTACCAGATGCTCTGCTGGAGAAGGAGGGACAATCTCCTCCTGTACCAGTCAGATCCGATTGGACGGTACATACACACAAAATAATAATTAAAAAATCATGTTATATTAAAAAAAAAGACAGTGAATTTTTTTCCAAAAACACACCCAGAAATTACACTGTTAGGTTAGTGCCCAAAAGCCTTAAAAAGAGATACACCGATAACATGCACACCGACTCCCACTGCAGCACTGTTCACACAAAGCCAAAACGTGGAAAGAATAAATATTCATTAACAGGTAAGTGGATAAGCAGATTTTGATATATTGTTGTCATGCGGTGCCGTTGAGTATGACTTACAGCGACCCTAACAACAACAGATCTGAACCCTATCCTATCCTGTGCCATCTTCACACTTTCTGACACACTAGAGCCCATTGCAGCAGTCACCGTGTCAATCCACCTGGTCGAGGGCCTTGCTGTCCTTCGCTGACCCTCCGCCCTTTCTAGCTTCATAGCCCTCTCCATGGAATAGCCCCTCCTAGCAACATACCCTAAGTATGTGAGGTGAAGCCCCATCATTCTTGCCTCCAAAGAGCTCTCTGGATGCACCGTCTCCAAGATGTATTTCTTTGTTCTTTTGACTGTAGCTGAGATGGTCAGTGCTCTTCAACACCACAACTCAAAGATGGTGTCTATTCTTCTTCCGTCCTCCTTATTCATTGTCTAGCTCTCTGATGCATAGCAAGTGATCAGAATATGAGCATTCGATAGATACTTACTAGAAAATATCACTCTGCCATAAAGAGAAAGGAAAGGAAATTCTTGACCAACTACAATACAGATAAGCCTTGAAGACATTATGCTGCGTGAAGTAAGTCAATAAGTACTGTATCATATCACTAATATGAATCACCTGGAAGAGGTAAAGATAGAGTTTAAAGTTTAATAGTGCTTACCAGGGATGGGAGAGATTGGGTGGGACCATAATTTTTAAGGAGCAGAGCTCATGAGAGCAGGAAATATGGCAATGGACATTGATGATGGCTACACCACAAAATTGAACTAATCTTCTTTACTGAATCCTTTATCAAAGGGGTTAAATGGTAAAATGCTGTGTTATTTGTTTTCGTAACGATAAGTTTTGTTTCCAATGGATCTGACCCACAGGGTTGGAGATCCCAGCGGGATGTTGCACATCAGAGATTCTAAACAGTGGCATCATTTCTTGGCTTAGGAGAACATACTCCTAACCATTCATTGAAACGGATGTGGATTACAGATAAATGTGACGTTAGTACGATCATAAGTTTCTCAAGGAAAATAAAATGTGTTCATATACTCAAACTAGAACTTTCAAAAACACAAACCATCAAAATCCTCCTTGCCTTTGACTCTGAATTGACTTGCAGCTGACCCCCCAGGGGAACTCCAGAGGCTACATATCATATGAAAGGACATTTGCCCATCTTTTTTGGTTTTTTTCCCTCGGAGCAGCTAATGATTCAAACGTCTTGTCTTATCATTGGCAGTTCAGCTCCTCATCCTCTAGACCGGCATGTCTCCTCATCCGGGTCTTGTTATCTGCCATCAATTGACACCAGGTCCTAGCTGGCCCACCCGTGGGGTCTTAGAAGCTGTAAATCACATAGGAGAAGACTGTCCATCTTTCTTCTGGGGAACAACCAGGGGATTTGAACTGCCCACCTTTGGGTTGGCAGTGAAACACTAGGGCCCCCAGAGTTCCCTCAGCCAGCTTGGTGGTGCCAAATGATATGTAACCAAGTGTATTTAGTAGAAGTTTCTGGGTGGTATAAAGAGTCAACACACCCAGAAGAAAGACTAGATAATTGACTTCTGGGGGGAAAAAATCAGAGAAGGAGAGACGGATGGCATAAAAGAAAGAAGAAAAGGGATTGTTTTAGATCTTTGGAATATAAATTGTCTTGGAGATCATTAAAAAACCTTTTCCTTTTCAGATTAGATAATACGAAATCCAAGATGAAGGGTACAGACCACATATCCGAGTTTTCCCTCTCTCACTTCTTCCGGACACTGCATGTTTTTGAAAGCAAGCGTATACACAGTTACCCAGAGGTCACATTATTGGAGAGAAGCAGATTTGTAGCTGTACAGCATTGATTATTGCATTTTTAGAGAGTTTCTACGTGGGTCTTGGCTTCCGTCCTGCGAGCCCAACCCCAGCCCAGCACCCCTAGGTGGTGAGTACATCCTTTTTCCTTTGTGTAGGTGTATATGATAAAATGGACAGGTTCTTTTAATGTATCATGAGAGGATTCCTAATGCGTGCTGCAGAAATGCCTACAAGCCTGTTGTTTCTTAAAATTCATTCTGCATA